GTTTATAGAATGACTTTAGTTTAACTACCTTAAACATTGGTTCTAGATTAAAGGAGTTTAAATATTGATATTAATATCTGTAACTTGTTTAAAAATCTTTTTTATTTTTGATGCTTTTCAGTAAAAATGTTTCAGGTCATTGCTAATGTGGTATTTTCAATATTCAAATTTGTCCCACAAAATAATATAATATGAAATCATAAACACTTGGAACTATACTCTTATGCTTTTTGATTGATGGTACTTTTAATATGGTTGTGACTATAACAGCTTTTATTATTCAATATATTGTGTTTGGTGAGACCTAAAAAGTATGTCTACTTACAGTTATTTTTACAAGCAGCGAGAAAAGGATATTGGGAAAGAGGCTCATGCATGCTGGTCAGTTAAATTGGAGAAACAGCTTGGTGAATCTGAGGTCAGCATGTCAATGACGATTCTGAAGATCTTGGGCGATTTACTTAACCTTTCTGAGTTTCAGTTTACTCACCTAAAAAATAGTGCTAATAATGCCTGAGAGCAATTTGGAAAGCATTTGTGGCAAACCATAGATGGCTGCAACAATCTCTCTCATCTCAGGTGCTCTTTTCCATGAGACCTTGAAACCTCTTCCATTGAGAGGTGGGGTCTATCCCTTCCCCCTGTGTCTGGGTGGACTTGTGACTATGGTGGCAATGAGACAATTTGACTTCTAAGGCTAGATCATAAAAGGAGACACAACAATGGCGTCCACCTGTAGTCCCAGCTACTCGGGAGGCTGAGGCAGTAGGATGGCTTGAGTACAGGAGTTCAAATCCAGCCTGGGCAACATAACAAGATCTCATTTTTAAAAAAAATGAAATGGAATAAATAGGTACCAACCTGTATTTATACAAAAATAAAAAAAAGTAAAAGGAGATGCTGAGAAAGACAAAACAACCCCAGTCGTTAACATTTGGAAGCTGACCTGTATTTATAGCTGGGCCATATTATTCTCTTACTGGACATAATCTCACAAAATACCATCCTCAGACAAGATTACTCTAAAACTGGCCGGGCAAGGTGGCTCATGGCTATAATCTCAGCACTTCGGGAGGCTGAGACAGGAGGGTCACTTGAGACCAGGAGTTTCAGACCAGCCTTTGCCACACAGGGAGATCCTGTCTCTAAATTTAAATATTAGCCAGGTGTCCTGTTGGGGGCCTAAAGTCCCAGCTACTCCAGAGCCTGAATGAGGAGGATCGCTTGAGCTGGGGAGTTGGAGGTTGCAGTGAGCTATAATCATGTTACTGCACTCTCCAGTCTGGGTGACAGAGTGAGATCCTGTCTCAAAAAAACAAAACAAAACCAAAAGAAAAACACACAAGAAAAACAAAAACAAAGGATTACTCTGAGACCTTGATAAAATGAAATTAAGCAAGATTAAGATGATTAAGATTAGATCATGATTTTAGATAAGCACAAAAACAAGGTCACTGTGTCACTCACAAAATACCAACTCGCCACTTTTGGCCAAAAGGAGTGACTGCGCTTCTTTACCAATTATAGTTTTATCCTCACCTTTGTCTGCCCTCTGTATAGATTTATTGAGATATCCATCAGAATTACCTCCAATCTAGTGCAAATCCTTGCTTCCTTGTACCCTTCCTCGAATCACTCAACCAAAGCCAGAATCCTGTAACAGGTTCTTTCTAACTCCCTCTTACTGAGAATCCATGGTTTCCATGGTGTGTATTCTCTCTCACAGAAGCAGTAATTAGTTCAACTTGTTTAACTACATAATATGCACAGTGGTCTTTGGTTGGAGGACATTGACAAGATGCTTTGGCTTTTTTCTCTCAGGGCGCTTGCTGGGGGCTGGAAACCAGCTGCCAGTTAAGCAGACCAATTACCCTGAAGTCACTAGGATATAGTAAGATCAAATTAGCGCACAGACACAAAAAAGAGACTACGTAGAAAGCCCCTGAAACTAAGTGGGGGGAGAGAGGGAGAGACAGAGACAGATACAAAGAGAGAAAGAGATGCTGGTCAGGCCCTCAATGCTTCAGGCTTAACCTCCCACTCCACCCCTTGCTTTCTAGCTTCAGCTACTTTCTGGCTGCAACCCCAGGAGACACTGCCTGGCCCATATCTTCCTAAATTCCTGACCCACAGAAACCTCAAGAGATAATAACATGATTGCTGTTTGAAGCCACTAAGATTCGAGGGGATTTGATGCATACAATAGATAACATAAAGTGTCTGGCACACAGTAGGTGCTCAATAAGTGGTAGCTGTTTTTTTTTTTGTACTTGTGAGAAGTAAGGCTATCATGTGCAAAATCCCCAACACCTAAATATTTTTTCCAGTAAATTTCCTTTGACAAAAACTTGTGGACTGGTGCCCACAGATCCACTCAATGTATTTTAATCCTGATACCAAAATAAGGTAGACTGATCAATACTCCTCCGTAAGGGGATGAGCTCATTGTGGAGCAATGCTGGAGCAGTACTACGATTGCTACTATTTGAGGAGGATTCTGTGTTTAGGAGATATGTATAACTTTGTTCGTAACTTTAGAATCCACATCAGTGGTTGACTATATTCCCTGGCCCATTGTCCCCTGAGGGTGAAGAACACGTTTTAGATTAATATGGCCTATTGAAAAATACCTTAATTGAATATTTTTCAAATTGTAAAAGTAGTATTTGCCCATAGTAAGAACACAAAATGAAGATATATAAGGCAATCTCTTCTCCCTTATCCACTCTCCACCCCCCAACCCCAACCACTCCCATGATGTAACCATTATCAATAGCTTATTATGCATTTCCTATACAGTATATATACTAGGTTTATTCCTACACATACACACTTACGATAAAGTTTAATATATAAATTAAGTACATTAAGAAATTAACAGTAATAAAATAGCACAATTATAACAATATACTGCAATGAAAGTTATGTGAATATGGTCTCTCTCTCTCTCAAAATATCTTACTATACTGCACTCACCTATTTTCGGAGGGCAGTTGACCACGGGTAACAAACCAAGGAAAGCAAAAAGGCAGATTGAGGGGGGATTACTCTATATCATGAGATAAAAAACAAATCTGATTTAGTTAAGGAGAGACTTTATTTGAAAGGATTATTGCAAGTGGGGGGTGGAGAAGGGTTACTGCAATACGAAGAGACTATTCCAGCCTCTTTGAAGGGGAATGAAAGGGTGGCTTGATTGGATAGCAGATCAGAGAGTATTTCACCCCGAGGCCAGCCTGTTCTCAGGAGGGGCTGGTAAGGAGGGGTTACATGCTGGCTCAGGCCAAGGGTGGGTTAAAGCTCAGAGGCCTGGGGGAAGGAGAGAAACTTAACCAAAATTTGGTTAACAGGCATTTTGATCCTATTGGTCAGTGGGACAAGGAAGTCAGCCAATCATTTATGTGGCAAAGAATGGGAGTTTGGGGGATCTGTGTCAGGCCTCATCCTAACTAACAACCTTGGGGCTTTTCTAAATTGTAAGGAGAAGGTGTTTCTTTTCACTTTGCTATTCACAGAACACGAAAGGGTGAGTCATGCAGAGTCTCAGCTACTGGGGAGTCTGAACCAGGAGGATCCCTTGACCTTGAGCCCAGAGTTCAAGGCCAACCTGAGAAACATAGTGAAACCTTGTCTCTTAAAAGAAAGAAAGAAAAAAAAGTGGGAGGTTTCTTAATCATCATTTTTCACTATTTTCCCGTAGTACAGGACTCTGGTAAAATTAAACATTGTCAATATGCAGAGTTTAATGAGTTGTTTGCTTTACAAAAATGCGATCATATTAAACGTGCTTCTAATGTCCTCATGTTTCATGATGTGGTTGTACCATAATATTCAATATTTGGTCCTCTATGGATGACCACGTGCTTGGCTTTCAGGGTTTTTTCCCCCCATTTCACTTCAACTATTTTTAAAAAATCATTTCGTTTAAACTTTGTGGTTTCTGCAGCTGCTAAATTTGGGGTTCCCAAATCTACATTCCTTTTTCAAAACCTACTTTTTTCTTAGAATCTTCTTAACAGAACTGCCAACTGGTCTGCATTGACTGTCTTCTCAAACACACATTTATTTCGTGCCCCGCCCCCCCCCACCCCGGAAGGAGGTGACTAGGAAAAAAAAATGGTCCCAACACCTTTTCTTTTGTCGTCCGCCTCTCCTTTTCCGGAAGCAGGGCATCAACCAGACCCGCCGACTTCCTTCTGTCTGTGACACTCAGGAACTTTTCGACCCCAGCTCTTCGTCCCTCTTTGGTCCGCGGAAGCACCGGAAGGCGTGGCCCCGGCCCGGGCATCCTGGTTGGCACCGTCTCCCGCCCCGGCCCCGCCGAGACGACTCTGAGGACTGAAAGCAAACCGAACACGCCGCGAGGAAGACGTGCCTCGCTGCACGCCACAAAGACACGTTTGCACGATCTTTTTAGGGTCTTACCCGTGTTTTGCGAGGGAAAGAAACAGAACTGAAGCGTCTTCGGTTCTTTTAGATGGGGCTGTCTTGTACCAGTCAGTCTGGGGGAGGGAGACCCGGAGGTAAGGGGAGGGGTCAGCCGGTCCTTCCAGTTAGCAAAAGTTCAGGCAGTTGCTAACTCGCTGCTTCTTAGATCGGGACACCCTGGGAATCAGCCACGATAACCTCGTATTACCTCATTTGCTGATTTCAAACAAGGAACCATAAAAACCTGAAATGCACATTGAGTGCCACCCAACACTGAGGCTCGACTGCCAAGGCGAAGAAAAAAATTGCCCTTTCTCCTCTTTCGCCCCCGGAGGTGCCAGGTTGCAATCTGCAAATGCATTGTCTGGCCCGTAGGGCTGGACGGTTAATGATTGGCGGCAGAAGGAGCGCGGCCGCGAAGCGAGAGGGACGCTAGCAGGCGAGCGGGGGAGCGACCGCCAGTGCAGGGCCGAGCCCAGCCGAGCCCCCGCCGGCTGCCAGGCGCCGCCTCCCGTCTTCCGGGCCCCGGCACTTCTGGGGGTTCCGGGCGCCGGAGCCGCGCAGGGGCCCCCATGGAGGCAGCCTCGCCGGCGGGACCCGACGCCCCGCAGCCTGTCGCGCAGGGAGCGGAGGGCGCGTCCCGAAGCCTGCTGCGCAGGATTAAAGGCAAACTCTTCACCTGGTGAGTGGAAGCGGCGCGCGGCGGCTCGGCTGGGGCGGCGGGAGCCGGCGGGGACCGCGCGGGCGAGACCTGCTGGCGACCCGGCTCGCACGTGTCTGCGGAGCGCAGGCACGGGCGGCCGGAGCAGGGAGGCAAAGGTGGCGGCTGCACGGACTTCGGTTCAGGGGTCTCAACACGTGCACTAGGGATGTTGCGCTTCACTTGGCCTCTGGAAGCTCTTCGTGCTCCTCCCCCTCGCTCCCTCTTGAAAATCGTGGCAATGTATTGCAGAGGATTTGGGAGAAATTTACGCTGTTGGCACTGTTAGGTCGGTCCCCAGTAGCCTCCTGATGCTGGGAAGGAGGGGCGCCCACCCTTCGGCTTGCCAGGTGAATGCATTCCACTTCCTGGCGCCGGCGCCCGCGTTCCTTCTGCTTCGCAGCGCGTCACACCGGGCCGGGTGATCCTCCGCTAACAGGAGTTCACCCAAGTGAGAAATCCCGGTTAAGTTTTTGTGCCGCTGCCCGGCGGGAGACCAGAGCCTGCCTCCTTCCTGGGCCAGAGTGAGGTGCCATGGCCACCTCCAGGGCTGGGTTCGAGAGAAGCCTGTTTCTGGTGTCACTGTGTGTGCTCTGTGGAAAATAGGGAGGCATGTTCTTCTTAAGGGATTGGCGGCAACTCTGGGGACAGCATTTCTGTGTTACTGGCGGACGTAACGTTCTGGAAGTAGAAATAACCTAGGACCTAAATAGTGAAAGCCATTTATTGCGCATTCATTCTGTGTGAGGTATTGTGCTTATCAGTTTATATGATTAATATCTAATCCTGGCCACTTCAGGAGATGGCGCTACTGTTATACCCACTTTGCAGACGTTGAAACAAAGAAGCCTAAGCGATTTGCCGAAGGCCACGAGATGATCTGTAACGGGTGGTGCTTCCAAGCCCTAAACTGCATTCGCCATTGGCACCTCATGAAACAGGCATTTGATTTTTTTTCCCTGTTATTGAAGTGAATTTCCCTTTAAAGATTGCGAAAGCTGTATCCTGAAAAGCTATACCGAAAAACTAGATCGATAAAGATGTGTGCATTTTTGTCATATAAATAAGTATAGTTTTAAATAGAGACGCATGCGTTCAAAGGAAAGTTGGCCAGAAGTCACCTTGTATCATCCACTTATGTATGTCTTGATAAATTTGCCTCGAGATCTCAGGTGGGAGGCAGTGTACTGTAATGGTTAAGGGCATAGATTCCGGGGAGGGGGCAAGGGCGACATACGTAACATAAATATCTGTACCCCGATAATATGCTGAAATAAAAAAAAAAGGGGCATAGATTCTGGACTCAAATCTTGGCTGGGTGACGCTGGGGCAAGCCACTTCTCTGTGCTCCAATTTTCTTATTTGCAAAATGGAGACTATAATAGTACCTACCTTGTAGGGCTGTTGTGAGGATTAATGGGGTGACTACACAGGAGTGGGCAGACAGATCCTGGCTCATTTCAGTGTTCTGCATGGGTTAGTTGGTCACCATCAGCTCCATTCCTGGGTGATGGGAACATGTAGTGATTGCTTAGGGAGATTGTCATGGTCCTGTCCATGGCTGGACTTTAAAGTGTTTTATGAGTTCTTGGGCTCCTGGCTTGGAGGAGTCGCCTTGGCCCACACAGGGGAGGGAGATGACAGACACTCAGCAAGTACGCGTGAAGAATTTATTGTAAGGAAAGTTTAAGGGTGAAAAGCGAAAGTACATTTCCTAAGGGGAAATGGGTCTGTGTCCTTGAGTGGAGAAGACATTGTCTTCTTCTATGTTCTTCCTTTTATATGCTAGTAGTATATGTTGATGTAGAAGTCAGTTATAATTACTTATGACTGTATGTCACAGGTTTTGGGGTCTGGATTTTTCCAGGTATGGACATAACTTAAAGGTTATGTTCCAGACATTTCCAACCATAAGTGTGTTGGAAAAAGTCACCGTTTATGGTGGTCCTCTGATTGGTGGTCACTGTTCTGTGGTCTGATTAACCCAGTCTTTAAGACTGAAATAACTGTTTTTCTCTGGTTATTTTTCTGTAACTATTTCCTTCTTATTGTTTAAATGTTTCCTCCTTCTTGTTTTTCTGCCTCCTGTCATTCCATCACCTCTTGTTTTTCTGCCGCTAACAAGATGCCAGCAGCCCTGAGGCTGGGGCAGATGATACTACTGATGTCAGTTCAGCAAGATGTAATAAGAATTAGCAATGATTTTTTTCTCCTAATGCCCTAATATTTTCCAAATCCTGCTATGTTTTACAATCAGGACTGTCTAGTAGGCTCCTAAGTATGAGATTTCTTCTGTCTTTGAACGAACTTTTTTTGTACCTCCCTGAGGGATTTTTCTTTTCTTCTTTGTGTGATTGCTATTTGTGGGCCTTTTACATTCCCCATGGACAGAGTTCTTTAACAGCAGGATTCATGTCTTTTTCATTTTTCAATGAATGTAAGAATGCATGAGTGAGGATGACAAAGGTTCTTGAGGCCTCCTTTCCATTCTATCTCACTCCTTGAACTCTTCCCTTTATTGGTCTTTATTCCAAAGGTCTTCCTTCAGTGGAGCTTCTTGTTTGGTTGGCTGGACTCTTTTTTTCGTTAAGGTTTCCAGTCTTGCCTCTGGCAACCATCCAGGTACTTGGATTCTGGATTGCGGTTTCCCCTCATCCAACCCAGCAATCAGAACAGTGCAGTTTCCCAGATATCCAGTGCTCCTTATACTCAGTATTTCAAACTCTGTTATTCAAACTCGTCTCCCAAGTTTGAGTTAAGCTTTGTGAATCCCCAGCCATGGCAGGGGCTGGGGTTGGGGGGGTGGGGGTGGAGAGAGTTTGGCGGATCAATATGATGTCACCATATGGATATGATACAGAGGGAGATTTGTAACCACACAGCTCCTTTCTATTCCTTGTACCCAAAAGGGGCAAAAACAGTCCTTTTGGCAACTTGGTACTAAATATAGGGGAAAAGATTTGGGCCTAGAGCTGGTTCTGTTTTCATTATGAGGAGGATATATTCTAGGTCACCTCAACTCCTGATATACCTGCCTTCCTTAGGGTACAGACAACTTTTCTCTGTGATTAAAAATATCAGATCACTTGTTCAATGAAAGTTTATTGAACACTTACTATGTGCCAGGCATTCATGATAATGAGCACCATATGTTCCCAAGTGGACTCTGCTTATAATTTGGCTTTTGTCATTTATTGCTGTCAACTCAAATGAAAAATACTGTAACAGAAGGCCATGGATTTCTAGGAGTGCCTGAAGATACTTATTATTTAATTGTATACCATCAGGCAGTTTACATCTGACACATAGTCTTTGTTTTATTCATATATTTAAAAATGCATATTCCTTATAACAACCATCAACTTTATATCTCTAGCAAAGCCTTTAATTATTATTTCATATATTTGTCTTTTTCCCATCAAGTAGATGGTCAGCTTTTTGAGGGCATAGATTTTATCATATTCCTTCTGTAGGATAGTGCTGGATATGGTTCATTCATTCTTTCATTTACCAAACCTTGTACATCTATAATATTCTAGGCTTCAGACTAGTCTTTTTGGCTATAACAGTCAATAGGATTTAGTTCCTGCTCTTGAGAAAGCTTATAGTCAAATTATGGCAAGAAGTTATCATAAGTGCCATAAAAATGAGTACAAAGTTCAGTGATGGCACAAAGGAGGGCAGAGACCAAGTCTACTAGGGCGAGGTAGGGCTAGGGAGCTTAAGGGAGAAGGTAATTGGGACCTTGAAGCATGAGTAAGAGTTTTCCAGGTGGTCTAGGTGAGGAAGGGTAGTCTAAGCTTGAAAGTGCCACAGAACGTTTTATTTAAGGCATGGGCTGGAGGAGGGATGAACAAGAAGAGTTGGTCAGTCTACACATGCATGCCTTGTTATTGTCTCACAAAGGGCCTGGGTTGGCCTTTTGGTTTCTCTTTTCATTTTTGTTTCCTTCTTTAAAAGGGTAAAGCCCAGACATTTTTTAAGCAGTCATTTAGTTGTGCTTAACTGTACAGCCTTTATCTATTCATTCGACAGACATCTACTGAGTGCTTATTGTGTGCATAACATAAGTCCTAAACTAGTGTGTAGCCCTGCTGAAGCGTATTGATCTGTAGTGTTATTTAAGCAAAGTTGTAAAATGAAGGACTTTTTGTGGCTTGTGCAGTTCCCTGGGGAATTGGGGAACTCTAGATCCTAACAATCTCCATAAATTCTCCATTCCCACTTTTTAATGTGAGATTATTTAATATCTACCTCTTCTACTAGACTCCAGGAGTCAGGAACTGTATCTAGCTTTGGTTACCCTTGTATACGCTGATGTTACAGCACCGGCCTTGCAACAAATTCACAATAAGTATCAGTTACATGACTGAATGAATCCCTAATTCCAAATAGGAATTGTGTGAAAGATCACATCTCTTTTTTTAGATAAAAATTTCCACTTAGCACTATATGTTTATGACCCATTCAGGTTGTTTTGTTCATCTAGTCAGTGTTTCTCAACCTCAGCCTTATTGACATTTTGGATTGAATAATTCTTTGTTGGGACTCTTCTATACGTTGTAGGATATAGCAGCATCCCTGGCCTCTACTCAATAAATACAGTATAGCACCCCACCTCCACTCCCACTCCCAGTTATGACAATTAAAAATGCCTCCAGACATTGCCAAATATCTCCTGGGGAACAAAATCACCCCTGGTTGAGAACCACTGATCTAGCCTATTGTTTCTAACTGCTGCAGAGTATTCTGTGGCTCCATGGTCCACCACTGATGGGCAGCCAGATAATTTCTAACTCCCAGCCTCCACAAACAACACTGTGATGAGCATTCTCATACGTTTCCCCTTATGTACTGAAGAAGAGCTTATGGACAGGCCTCCAGGTGACTTTGGGTAGAAGGGAAGAGATGAACCCTAGCATGGAGAAACCTTGGGAACCGTAGAACCACTGTTGGTTGCTATTGTTCAGTGCCCCTCCAGT